GAATAGCGTAAAAGGAAATTTTAAACATTAGGAAGACTAATAAATTTCAAGAGCGAAATTAAGATTTGGAACACATAAACCACAAATAATTTAAAAAATATTGGATTAATGACGATTTCATAAATATCTGCTACAGGATCTAGTTAGAGTAAAGTTATCTTTGTGCACTATGAGATCAAATGACAAAATCCGAACAAACCCAAGTTGTTTTTTCGACAAATCCAGCTAGTCTAACGATGAAAATTATTAAATCTTCTTCAGTAGTTTCTATCAAGAACGCTAAACCACTATTATCAGACTGTATGTCGTTTTCCCGGGAGTCATCTAATGGAGATACGACTGGTTCATCGAGGTTACCCCAGAAAGCCCGAATTTGAAGTCTGTCTTCAGGGTTCCACTAAAGGGAATAATAAGCCTGCATTTAATTACGAAAATGCAACTATATGAGACTCCGAAATGCCTTAAACTCACACGTCGAATGCGTTTTTTCGTATTTTCTGGAGGCAAAATAATTATTTTGCTGCAGCTCTTTCTATCAAGTGGACAGCTTGGGTTCAGATCAAACCAATGTTTTAAGCAAGTATAACAGAAGCGGTGAGTACAAACATTGGTAGTAGATACGGGAGGCGTAATCTCTGTATAACAAATTGGACATATATTGTCATACGGATCTGATGGAACCATGTTATTCGCCATGCTCTGCAATTTTAAATGAGGCTGGCAAATTTGAGCAAAGTAAAACAGCATACATCATTGAAATTGATTTATTATACATTTTTAAGTACTCCAAAGTTAATTTGTTTTAGAAATACCATTTACCATTGGTTAATCTTTTTATAATTGTTTAACATTATGTAATAAACTCTTCTTGAAAAGAATTCCTATGGCGATATATTTTTTTGTCAAAAGCGAAATTTTAAAATGAACAGAATTATAAAGCAAATGGGAATAAAATAAACTATGGCAAACAAATGAATTAAAATTAATGGGAAAAGAAATAGAAGCAAAATTTAGTTTTGTTTCGACCTTTAGAATGCCACTGTTTTAGTTTGATATTTTCGATTGGGTTAACGATCTTTTAACCTTTCATTTAATTGTATAATATTCTAAGTAACTCATGTACCCCTAGTCTTAGCAATGATGCATGTTCATGTAAAATTGCGTTCTGACTCTTTTTTATTCAAGCGATAGCATCATAACTTATTGTCGTGAGACCATACTGAGTTCACAACTTAGACGAATATATAAATAATCTTCAAAAGTTGATACAGCACTGAGTATGAAGGTCGTCTCAGTAACATTTTAGTGCACCTCGCATTAATTTCGTTTCGTTAAGTACATGATTAATTTGCAATGTTTACGTAAACACGATGGGATAATTCACAGTAACGCTCATTTTCCCCTTATCATAGAGCACAATTTCGGATTTTTGGTTAACCACAGGTAAACTGACTTAAATATTCGCTAAATTTTAGTCGTTAAAATTCCTAAAAATTAAGGTAAATTTCATATTGATTGAATATTCTACGATTAGTAGGTGGAAATCGGGAACCTCTTTCTTCAATGACGTGTAAAGTTTCAATTTTGAGAAGTTTTCCCAAAAATTCAAGCCGCTACCCAACTGCATAAAAGTTGGAGTTTATCGTGTATTGTTCAGAGATCATCAGGGTTTTATCGATAAATTGGCAAAAAATCGATAACACCAGAAACGTCTACCCCATTTTATGTAGGAAATGGACCTTTGGTGACCAGACGGCTGACTAAAATCATTAGATTAAAAACCAAGGGAATTTATTTTACAAGGTATTACCTGCAATACGATTCATTTTACAAAGTTTAAAACATTATTTATTTATCTCAAATGGCAGGCATTTTGATAGTTATCTTTAGCTCTTTAGCTGACGTCAGGCTTCAAAGAGGAGGAGGGGGAACATCAAAGTCACAAAAAGTCGAGAGAGGAGACAGAGTAATGATTCACAGATGTTAAAGGGGCAGACAAACACAAATGCTGAGTAAAAGGTAAGGCGAGATGAACTGAAATGATGGAATATGGCATTCAGTGGAGTCATGGTAGTTCGAAGTGAGAAGTCAACTGTCGGTTAATAGACTTTTTGCCGTATGAGTATACATTGCCCAGGGTGCACCACGTGGAGGTAAGTCTATCGCTCACCCCACCAACAAATATATTATCGCATCTATTACCCATAATATTGTTGCCACTACCATATCATTTAAACTTGGCTATATCATCTTTCAGCCAAAAGTGAACTAGTCTATGACATGTAGCATTCCGGGAAATAATATTTGTTTTAACTGTCAGGCAATTACGTATCAAACTATTGAGACATAAGGGAATTTAATGCAAAGTGGTCCCACTTCGTGTCGAGCACTTTAATTTCCTGAACAAACTTTATTTATTCCTGAGTATGTGTTAGATCTGAAACTGCGCATCTTTATGTAACCCAGTAGGTAAAGTAATTAAACAATTCAGTTTGTGACACTAGAGCTCTCAGTGACGGACCTTAAATATGGTTTTAATAAGAGCAATGTCCAGTCGTAATACAATGTTCTCTGGATAAAGCGAATTTTCAACAGGATCTTTTTGGTATTTTGGAAGCAGTTCTCAGTGGCCTTCGCAGTTGTTAAACAATATCTCAAAATTTGTTAAAGAACACATTTTTTTCATTAATTGTATCATTACTTCAAGTTAGTAGGTAAGAGAGGAAGTTATGACAGCATTTCAATTGATATTCAATAAGGAATTAAAATTTGCAACCACTATCCCTGATTTAAAACTAGAATAATTTCATAAGTTATTCTGGTTATTTTGAATCATATTATAAACAGAAATCGTTATGCAGCTTAATATTTGAAATATATTAGATTATATAAATAAAGGCACTTCGCGCCACCAAATGACAACTTCAGTCATTATTTTTTATTACTAATAATAATATTAATAATCAAAACTAATCTTAAAGGCTATCTGTACCTTTTTGAATAGTATTAAAATAGGACTATTTTAACGGCAATTTTAAGGATATGCAGCACTTAGTGGGTTATCTCGAATGGATGTGAAAAATTCAACACATAATAAGAAGGGAAGACAGAGAAATAGCAATAGAAGTCATATTTGCCATCATTCCTGCCCGTACAACACAACAGCTGTTTGTGCCTGCGTAGTAGCGTGTTGTGGCCAATAAAGGAAGCAAGCGTGCTAGGAGGGATGCATAGTATGTCTCTCCCTCCATGCCTAAGCGTACCACAGATCGAAGTGAGCTTCAGGCAGTTTGATGTTCCTGATAGGCGCTTGTGTCTAGAAGACGCAACATTCCCACTGGTACCACTGGTAAGCGCGCGGGACTTGCAAGGGTCCACCAAAGCGCCTCCCTAGAATACGCCTCCACACACACACACACCCATCCACTCTCGATCCTACGCTCTGCCCTTGTGTAGCCAAAAGATCGGTTTGCTTTCATTTTTTCCGTCATTCCTTTCGAACGTGCGACAGTGAAAACACATCGGGGCCAGTTTTGACAACTTATAAAACTTCTAATCCACTACATTTACAGGAAAGATTTTGGAGTAAGAAAATTCTATCTTCAGCTGTATAATCTACGTTTCGACTCAGTCAGCTCATCCGAAAGCAAACATTAGAACCCAGTTTCGATAAGATTGGGTCTGCTGAATTCCATCTGTGGATTTTTATGACTCTGAAGCCCTCCTCCAGCTATGGCAAGTGCAGTTGGTGAGTTCTCCTTTTGGTACTAGGGCCATGGCCGCTTAAAAATCTTTTCCAGTATAACCCTGCCATTTGGCATATCAAATTCTCCATTAATTTACAAATTTTTTTATATTTTTGCATTATTGCAGTCAAACTTGCAGTACCATGACTTCATGATTTTAAATCAATAGAAATTGCTCAACTGAAAAAAAATCACCTCATTAATTAAGCAGCTTAAATTTGGGAAGCCTTTCACAGCTCAATCTTTATTTCTTTAGGAATAACTTTAAATTTTATATCTTCTTCTAAAAGAATGAAATACGACTCACTTCCTTCAAACTGTGAATGAGTAAAGTTCTTAATAAGTCGAGAAAGGAAACAGTATGACGACGCTGTTACATTCTAATCCCCTTTGCTTTTGAGTACAATTGTCAACAATAAAATTCACTTTATGATAATTT